TGCAGCCCGCCAAACAATAAGATTAGGGGAAAGTGCTATGCTTAATTTATGGATAATGGGAGAGGTAAAGGATAGAGCTCCCACAAAGGTAAGGCTCACAGCTGGAGGGAGAGGCCTCTGAGGAGGAGGAAGACAGATCCAGATTTGTAAGGTAGCAGAAAAACATTTGGGGCCAAGCAGGAGCAAAAGAAAAGGTGTTTAAGGATCATTGTCAAATTAAAATCATACTTCTCCCTGAACAACCACTGGTGACTAATGTTTCAAGCATGCCAGAAATTGGTGGTAAATTCAAGAGCTAGATATATTTATTTTCTCTTTGCCTCTGCTCTCTGTCTTTTCTTTGTATTTTATATCCCTAAGGCCCTGATCCCACACACCACTGAGATGTGTGTCTAACCTGAAACATTCCCATTCTTCAGGGTGACCACTCCCATCTGGAAGTCAGTGCAAGTGCTGCCCTGTTTTGCTGTAAAAAGGCTTTAGCCAAGAGTCCCTTATAAGCAAAGGAGATAAAGTATGGCAATAATAACGCCAATAAGATGTGACTGAAACCCCTATAAATTACCTGGCAAACTTAAGGGGAGATAGAAGTTCTGGAGCTACTTCCCAGCTGTGTTTCAATGTGTCTATCAGTCTTTACTCATCTCTTTTCATATTACTTTCTCTCCCCCTCCCTCCCTTTTTATTGATCTCTGCATCTTTTTTATTATATCCTTCTCTTTCTTCAGCACTGGTGAGCTAAATCAATGCATAATGCACATCCCACTCCACAAAAGGAATGCAAATGAAAGCTGGGCTCTTTTTCAATGTCCCACATATATCTGGGTGTGCAGTGCTGGTGTGTGGGAGAGTGCACGCCAAGGACAAGGTGCTCAGCTGTGCCTCAGACACCCATTTCTCAGCACTCTGCTGGGAATGGATCAAGTGCTAAGCCCCAGGTTCCCACCACTGTGAATCATAACTCTTACAAATGGGGTCTGTTTTACACAGGACACGTCAGGTTGAACTTGGCTGAGATCCGCGGTAACCACAAAAATCTGTTATCTCCAGAGTGATCAGGAGCAAGGTGAAAGGAAAGCAGCCCAGAGGTAGGAGAGGGGTGCATCAGTCACACAGACGTGGCTTGGAATCACCTGTCTCCTACTAATCAAAAGGCAAAGTGAAACTTTCCCCATGGGACAAAATTCTGTGTAGAAAAGATAAAAATATGCAAAATCCACTACAGGAAGCGGCTGTGGGTGGGGGGAGAATAGGTAGAGATGATAAATTTCACGATGGGGAAGGACGAGACTGCTGCAGAACTTAAAAAGCGGAGCACTGCCAGATGCTTCCATTAATTAATTAATTAATCTCACTGTCGCTCTTCAGCATGTTGCAGGAAGAAAATGCTATTAATCTTTTCTCTTTTCTGTTGCTCAGCTTTGTGCTTGGAGAAGGCCAGGACAGCCTGACAGTGAGACCACACAGTTTTCTTCCCTGCCTCCCTCCTTCCTTCCCCCGCGCCCCTCCTCCCTGGCAGAGCAGATTGATCCACTGTTATCTGATTAGAGAGGAAAGAAGGAGGAAAAACAAAAGCAAGACTAAAAATAAAAATAAGTGTAATTTTATTACAGGCACTAGTGGAAAGTGTCTTGAGAGCCTTGTGCCATTTAGTCAAAGGAAAGTTGGACCAATTAAAAAAGCCCATAAACCCCATGATCCTAAAAAGCAAAGAGAGTGAGAGAGGCAAAGGGACACCTGCAAACAGGCTGCCTCCATCCCTGGAAATATCCAGAACGCAGCTGAACATGACCCTGAGCAACATGCTCCAACTTTGAAGCTGGTTCTAACTTTGAAGTTGGCCCTCCTTGGACCAGAGACCTCCAGAGACTCCTCTGAACCTAAATTATTCTGTGATTCATGTCTCTGAATCTAAAGCCTGGTGGTGCTTGCGGGCTCTGTTGTATTTTTCTCCTACCAAGTGAGGTGACTTGCGTGGTCTCTGCTTTAGGAGGCAGGAGCCCACTTGGGCTTTGCCATCAAACCTCCTCCTCTGGAACCCGCCCACGACGCCCCTTCAGCCCCGTCTTTAGCAAACAAAATGTTTAGCAGTTCTTTCCAGCCACGTGGGACCCAATCCTGCAGACAATTTGTGACAAGCATTGCATTCACTGTTGTGGTTAGATTTGCTGAAGTCTAAAGAATGCCTTGTGGTAGTTCAGAAACATGCCTGGAAGAAAGCATTTGCAAGATCAAACCCTGAGGCCCCCGATTCAACAAAGCCTCTGAACATGTGTTTGAGGCTCACTGAATTCTTTGGTGAAGGGGAGTGATTCCCGGGGCTCTGAAGAGCTACATAATACAACAAGAACATCACTGAAAAAATAACACTCTCTGAAATAACTGCTTGTTGTTCTACAGGATTATAACATGTGTTAGCCTTGTAAACATGGAAATAAATTACACTTATTTTTCTGTGCTCCTGAAACGGAGACCCAAGAATTCTGTATTTTCCACAAAAATACCCCACCAATATCAAAGAAGATTTTTGTTCAGCTTAAGGCAGAAGATTAGGTGTGATATTGTTAGATTGTGGAGAATGCTGAATGTCTGCTCTTTTTTACTATTATTTATTATGTAATATGTACAGCCACTCACTTCCCCAACATCTTTATATTTTCTGGTGAGATTTTAATGCTTGATATACCAAGCAGAATATAAATCAGCACTGTTCATTTGTCTGAAAGACAAACTGGCAGTGTCTCCTTAGCTCTTGGGGTCATAATTCATGGTGGTCCAGCTACCACAAGAGCCATGAGGATGTGTTTCACAGGTATTAGCTCCTCTGAACATGTCCTAGAGACCTGAAGGCTGTGTTTGCCTGAGAACAGCAGTGGGGCTCCCTCACAGACCCTGCAGAAACACTGAGCCCATCACCACCACAGCAGTCACATCAGAACAACTTTTGAAGTCACACAACCAAACATTTTTAAGGTCTCTGTTCCTGCACCTTCCCTTTGATTCAGCTAATTTGATTCATCTGAGTCCCTATATTCAATATTTCACAAGGAATTTGATATCATTTGTTTTGTAATCCAGGATCTGTGCAAACCACAACCTTCCAAAGCCCGTGACAAACAAACAACTTTTTTGCCCCTGGAATTCCCCTCTCCTTTCCAACACAAGCAAATCTGAAAACCCACTTCCTCTGTCATGGAGTAGAAAAATCTGTATGTTTTAGTTGCTTTATTTTTTAGGCAGACTGCTGTCAGGCAGCCTTGTTCCACACTCTCAGGAAGCCCTGTTGCTGCTCCTGGAGTTGGATGAGGGATGGATGGTTGGTTGATGGTAGGTGGATGACACAACTGGACTCATGATCTTAAAGGTTTTCCCAACAAAACCAATCTCATGATTTTATATAAAAAGGCATAAAGCAGAGTGTTGCATACCGCTAGGACACCACTGTGCGGTCCAAGGCTTGGGACACCCCACTTTTACTCCTGTCCATGGACTTATTTGGAGCATTTTGCAGCTCCCACCCAGCCCACATCACCTGGTTTCCTGGAAAACTGATGGGCACAGGGGAGGACCTGGGTCATATCCTAATGTAATGCTGGGATGTGGTGAAAGCATAGACCTGGACCAAGGAATTCAGCCCTGCTGTGGAGCAGGGTGATACAGACACAACCATCCAGCACCAGCCCAAATCCTTGCTGGAACCGGCCTCACACCACGCCTGATGTCTGGGGAACCCAAAACATTTGCGTAAGTGTTTATCCCACTTTCAAAATATTATGACTAAAATCTTGCAGTGCTTGAGGCTCTAAGGCAGCAAGTTACTTGAAACACAAATGTAACTCCAAGACCACCAGTTGTCGCAATTAGTCTTGACCATAAATTTCCCTGATTTCAATAGAACTATTTACATATGTAAATAAGTACATCACCAAATCAGGCCTCAAGTCTCACTCACAGTGTGGGAAGCTGAAGTTAAAATGTAGCTGTTGTGATGAGCCAAGCAGTCCCGTTTACCACCCAAAGGAAACATGGTGCCTGTGAGGTCCATTCTACGTTGCTCCAGGCACAAGAGATAATGGTCAAATTGCCAAAAAAAGGCAAATTTCAGACTTGCAAACACTACAGTATCTGCTGAGGACTGATGGCCTGAGCTGAAGGCATGGGATCACTACATGGGTGTTTGCTTGGGCAGTCCAGATAAGGAATCTCATAAAATGTCTTGAGAAAAAGCCGACCCTTTATAAACATTAACTTTGGTTCCTGAAACTGCATGTTTTGTTCTTTCCCAGACCTCACAGACCCCTGGGTGGAAAAAGCAACCCCACAACGTGCGGCTACTCCACAGAAGGTGCAGTGTAAATTGGTCTCCATTTCCCTTCTCTGTCCCCAGCATTCCTAGAGAGTTTAATAAATATGTAAAGCTCGAAACTGCAGTCCCGATAGCTCGAGCATCTTCCGGCCATTGTGCTTACAGGTTTTGCTAATCAGAGCAAACCAGGCTTGCAAATGAAATCTGATTAAGTAGTTTTCACCTCTGAAAAAGGGGATTAGCCAGACCTTTGATCCTCAGATATTGATTTGCAACTCAAAGGAGGTGTGACCTCAGCTGGACTTGCTTCTGGTCTCAGTCCCTTCCCCTTTCACTCCTCCTCCTGTTTACCAGAAAAAAAATCAGTTCATGTCTTCTCACGTAGTCAGATCTAAAGCCTATTGAAGCCAGTGGAAAACCACCCACTGACTTCAATGGGCTTTGGATCAGTCCCACAATGGCTGACTTAGCCCTAAGTCCTGGGCTGTTTCAAAGCCAGCAGAACCAATTTCCCATCAAAATGACCAGAAGCTGGGAAGATATGTTCACCTTTCAAACCTACAAATTCCACCTTTTTTCTCTCTCCCATGACAACTCTTCAGCTGGAAATGCTGAAAGTACTGCTGCTTTTTCCCTTGCACTCTGTGTTGGGCTGCTGCCCACCGTGGGTCTGAGGGCTCTGAGCCTGACTTACCGATGCAATTAAAGGACAACTCCTGCAGGCAGAACAGGGAACAGCCATCACCGTTTATCTTGTTCATGTCATCACATTCTTCCCCCAGTTCTCTGCAGGCAAAAAGCAGTCAGCAGGCAAAGTAACATCAACCTCATGGTCTGTGTAACCCCACTGAAGAACCCCAAAGCCCTCATATCTTGTACAGCAGCTTTGTGTGGCCAACCCCTAAAATACCTCTCCCTTCCTCCTTAAGGGAGCCTCCTGGCTTCATCCTTTTCATTATTCCTCATCCACAGGCTTGCCTGGCCAGCTCCCTGCTGCACATGTGGATACCACTTGCTGTCCTCTGATGAGGATATGAGCAACTTCCTTCATAGCTGGTGTGGCTGTAGCTCAGCAGGTGGGGAAAAAGAGAACAGGAATCTCAGAAACTCTTTGTATTAAATCTGGAAGGGCCAGGCTGTGACCCCAGCATGGGAATAACAAGGCATAAAGCCTGGAGCGTGGTTATTCCAGGTGGCAGAACTCAGAGGAGAGCAGTCAACAGGGAGCAAGGGGTGTTGGGGATGGGTCCTGCCTCGTGCCAACCCACACGGCTGAGGCAGCGTGTGGGGAGAAGAGTGGGAACCAGATGAGAAAGGGGCTGCCACAGCTGCAAGTGGGGCCACAACCAACCAAGCTGTGACACAGTCTGGTTCCTGCTCGCTCCTGAGGCAGCTCAGCTATTGTTTGACACTTGCTGCAAAGCCACAAGTGATGTTTGAGGAATGTGCAAACATAACAGTAGCAGAAAAGTTATGTAAAGCAAAATTAATCTGTCTTTCTCCACCTCTCTTTCCAGGATTGCCCTGGATTCATGTGTTGTTTGATTGTTTTCTTTGCTTTCCTTGCCTGTTGGGCCTCTTCCTGCAAATATTTGCTGCCAGGTATATCATCTGACAGACTTGTGCTGTGTGATTGCTGATCAGCATTATTTCAAGCAAATAATACTGGCTGGATTAAGCACTTGCTTGTTGTTACTTCCATAGTTTAAATAATTAAATTACCTAATGCCAGGAAGCTTTGAAGCAGTAGCCTTAAGGGCCAACATAGTAAAGGAATAAACTCTAACTTACTTGTGAAGGATTGTTTTACATTTTCAGTGGCCTGGGGACTGGTGAGAGGGGAGCTGATTGAGAACATGCAATTCCCAGCACTCTCCCTCCGAGGCCAAATCTATCACTTCCAAATGCATCCCAGCTCTGGTGGTCAGTCAAACAAGGGGTTGCACCAGGAACTTGGCCCCAACACGTGGCAGGGTTTTACCCAGCTGTCACACACATGGGACAGCATCGAAGGCTGTGTGAATTTTTCCTGCTCCAGGTCTGTGCAGGAAATGTCACATCCATGTATAAAGATACAGATACATGGGCAAACAGCATAAACAGCACAGAGCATCCTTGCCTATTGATCCTGCTGTCTGGACTCCATTATCTGTATCTCTGTCTGTATCTCCTGGTGCCAGGAGAGAAGGGCCTATGTTACAATTAAATGTCATCATCCCAGTAATCATCAAGCACGTGAGTCATTATCTACAGATGAGAGCCAGCCTAACCTAAGGAGACATCAGAGGTCATCAATTCTTTCCTAGCCTCAGATTCTGGCTGAGGAGATGTGCCCAGATTTATTTGTTTGCTCACTTACATTTGGATAATCCCATCTCCGCAGTATCCACTCCCAGAGATGTAAACGAGGGCGGGGGACGGCTCGCTCTCCTCCATCCCGGACACAATGACCACCTGGTATCTGTACGTGGTCCCGTCGCTCAGCTCCCTGCCAGACAAAAGGAAAGTCAGTCATTCATACAACAAAGGCAGCAGCAGCAAAGGGCAGAGAAAGAGGGACTGGAGCAGGGTTTGGCTGCCAAAAAAGCAAGGTACAGTTCGATCAGCTCCTCCCTGCGATCCTACCTTGTTTTGACGTGATTAATTCTGGGTTGGGTGCCTTTTTTTTGTGAGCACAATCAGCACTACCTTTGTCTATGCTTGATTTATGCACAACTCTGATATAGGTGCAGTTCTTGACCATCTGACAGCTACACCATTTCCTGATGAAAACAATTATTTCGGTGAGTTGCTGCTTTCATCTCCACCTGCTGCAGAGATGGCATTGCAGTGACACCGTGGCAATGCCAACCTTCACCATGAGTAGTGGGAAACACTGAGATTATCACCAACAGTCAACAGTACTTCAACACCTGAAGAACCAGCCCTCTTCCTCACTGTGTTCAGACTTGGACACTTCTGTTCCATGTCAGGGACAGCAAGTCTGTACCACAGTTAATTTAAGGAATTTAAAATACCCTATTATTCATTATTATTATAAATACTCATTATTTCCTGAGCAGCCCTGAGCTCAATCCAGCTGCACCTGGAGCCAGTGGGAATGTGATGATTAGTGTAAGCTGAGGATGTTTCAGTGATGGACGAATAAGTTATCCACATCACATATGGACATTAAAACAGAAGAATTAAAAAGTTGGTTTCTTCCAGAGCAAAAAATAGGATCCACACCACAGCACAGGATCAGGGTATTAGCATTGAAATATTTACAGAAAGAATTAGCAAACTGTTACATATTTATGCAAAGCCATAATTACCTAAAACCTGTCCATCTGTAAATGAGAAAGAATATTTTTCATATGTAATATGGGAATAATATAATCCTAATAAAAATGTTTGGCTCTTTTACACTATCAAGACTCAAAACCTTCCTCAAAGAAACTCATTTGTTGTCTTCATTGTGCCGATTTGTAAAGACATGGAGTGGCCAAGGCAAAATTATTTGCTCAGTCATCAATCAGGTTAATTGCAGAGCAGGAAAGGCAACCCAGCTCTTCCCTAAGCCCGCCAGTCCTGTGCTCACTGTGCTCACATTGCCCCAATTACTGACAGCAATATACATGGCTTTTTGTCACAGGAACTTGGTCAAAAAGCATCTACTAATGAAGTGTGTACTACGAGGAGATAAATCTACTACGCAGAGCAACAAAGCCATTGAAGTGGATATCAATGAGTTACTGAAGTCTTCAGGTTCATGAAATAAGTATCTCCTTACAACATTCATTAAATTAACAATCATGACTTAAACTCCAATATCCCACATTATATTTTACAACAAAGCTGTTTCTCATGGGTACTGTGCCTGCAAAAAAAAACTGGCATTGAATGAATTGCAGGCCAAGAGCACTGGGATCTGACTCTTTGTTACTGCACATGGCAATGGAATGGGAGTGCAACTCAGTGGAAGGAAAACAGAACTGGCTTTCTCATTCCTTCTGCACCTGATTCCTGTCAACAACAGTCCATGGCTCCTATTAGCTAAATTTGAGAGTTCATGTAGCACAAACAGTATCTTAATTCACCTACAGGCTGGGGAGATGTCTACCCAGATATTGGTAAGACTGTTTATTCAATCAAAGTGAAAAGTTTCAAACTTCTGCCCCTTGGGGCTTGTTTAAAGCAACTGTTTTTCTGGGGGAAAAAAGAAATTATAGGAAGCAACTAAAGTGGCCAAACACACACTGTAGTAAAATAATGAGGGTTTTCCTTTAGATTTCACTCCCAGATAAATCCACTTACTAAGATGGGAGGTTTTCATATATACTGATGAAATCAAAACAGAGCCAAGCTTTGATTATTTCTCAAGTTCTGTCTCAAAACCATCTTAATACCATTTGTAAAATATTTAAGATTAGCAAGTACACTTGCAGAAATGTGGATTTTGTCACTGGGGATTTGTTAACCACAAAAAAAAAAAAATCAATTTTTGAAAATGGTAACAAATGAACAGTTGGGGCAGCTGCAAAATAAATAAGGAATAAGGCCATCCTGCTTTCTGATGCACTGAGATTGCAGTCCTGAGTGCGAAATAGGAGTTTGCGGATTCTGATTTTTGGTGTGATTTCCACCAATACCTCCAGGTGATGAGGCAGGCTAAGAGCAGTGAGCGCCCCTTGCACATGGCCTTTACTGGAGGGAAGTATTTGTGTGCACATGTAAGCAAAGGGACAACAGGAAAAGCTCACACTTGTTTGGAAGTTTTCAGAATACAGTGGAGGAAAACCTAGAATCAAATCAAGCACAAGGAGAATGTGGTGGTTATGAATTATGAGGTGGCTGGAGATGAATGTGTACATGGATGAATAAGACAGAAAATTGGAAATTAAAATTATTAGGTGGGGAGAACTCTGACCTATTTATGGATTAAGAATGGAGAACTTTGTTTGGAGTACATTGGCTGCTGGCTGTGCTCTAACCGTGTCACCTGCTGCACATCAGGGAGGGGAGATATCCAACTGCAACCTGCTCAAAGATGGAATGCTCGTGGAACTTTGTGTTGTGATAGGCAAATGACCCTCCAAATTTAGTAACACAAAAAAAACCCTAAACAAAAAAAAACCCAAAAAACAAAAAACCCCCTCCAAAACCCAAAAAACTTAACCCATTTATTCTCCAAAAAGAAGGTGAACAGAATCTCTGCCTCCTTACATATTACTTGCACAGTCTGGTTCCCCTTACTCCTCTGCAGTTTGGGTAGAAAATAAGAGCTATTTAGTTATTTATGGTCATGATACCCCAATATCTTTGTCTTAGGTTAAAATACAAAGAAAGGAAAGAGAAATGCCTGGGGATATGTGGTCCCTGTAGAGTAATGGCAGGTCTCCAGAGAGGCCGGTCCTCCCCATCCACATCCCAAATCCCCTTCTGAGCAACCTGAAGCTCCACAGTCTTCCCTGCACTGGGGAACAGCAGGGGAGCCCCAGGGTGTGACATCCAGGGCAGCACCAATGAACCAGCTGTGCCCAGAGGAGCTCGGAAATGGGATGTCTGCTCCAGAGGGACTCTTCAGCACCACACACAGAGCTGGAGATGTGGTTGGACTGGAACATCAAAAAAACACCTCAGAAACTCAAAACTGAAGCCATCATGGTTTCAACTAACCTTGGCCTGACACAACGAGTGACAAGAAGCTGACTGAGATGCATGTGGCATTTCACGATTCAACAACTGGAACGTGAGATACTTATATACTCCTGAACTGTTAAATGTGTCATATTGGCTGCAACTGAGAGTTTCAGCATTCCTTCACAGTGCCCACATTTTGGAGAAATATAGCTGTTAAAGGGATGATATGTGCAATACCCCAGGCAGTAATCCAGCCCCATAGTGAAGGAGGGAGGAAGGAATGCAAGGGGAAGGGTTTATTCCCTCTCTATAGATATAGGATAGCAAGGTTGATAGTTCAGACTGTATCTGGAGATGTCAGCAAGACAAGCTGTGCTCCAAGTGGTGACAAAAGTGTGATTTTTGACCATTTAATTCCTCTGCCACTTTCCTTGGGAGCTGGTGGCACAGTGACAACAATAAGGGGCCCTTTAGACTCTGCTGCCAGGCAGGACCCAGCATACGGTGGCTCTGTGAGAGGCAACTTAAGGAAGTGAGAGAAAAGAACATCTTTAACATCAAGGATGTGAACAAACACTCTTCAAATGTATATCTATGGTCTTTTAATGACCTTTTCCAGAACTGAGTAAGCTGCATTGATCGCTGCATCTTCCGCCTGTGGGGAGGCAGCCTTATTAAAAAGCAATGACTCAAGCCCTCTGCTTAGAGGGGGAATTAGGACGTGCCGTGTGAAATACCACAAGGGCAACTTTCCTGTCTGTTGTGGCAAGTGGCAGATCCAGGGTCAGGAATATAGAACCCTCTAATTCTTGTCCTGTTTTTACTGGAGAGGCTGGGCGGTGGAGTTAATCTTGCTCTCTCTCTCCCCCAGGCAAGGGACCTCTGCTCTCAGTTTGGGTGTTCCTGGAAAACTTAGCAGGAATAGTTATACCTGTGGGAAGTTGTTTTTTACTCAGACCAAGGTGGGTTTAAAGGATCATTGAATTTACAGAACACTCATGTCCTTGGGTTCCAGCAGACCTGCAAAGGCTGACACTGCCCCAACCACATGTGCCCCGCGCATGCTGTAGGGTTTCAGGACCTGAGGACACACTTAAGATGCAGTGAAAGAACTGAGGGAAAGTAAACATCCTATGCCTCTTTTCCTCTTACCATGGCATATATGTTTTTCCTACTACAAATAACAGCAGGATGGTTTCTTATACAGCAAAGACTTGTTTCCAACATAATTGAAAATATCCTTAAGGCTGAGCCCAGCTTCTGCCCTATGAAAAGACAAATGGTCAGACAGCAGTGAAAGCAGACAGTGTTCCTCTCATTTAAGGACAAGATGACACAGGCTTAAGCATCTCCAATTAAATTACAGCTGTCACAGCCAGTGTTGTGTGAAACAGGCAAATTCTACACCTGAAGTGTCCTCATGAAGGACCCATTTGTCTTTGAACTTAAACAGCCACCAAACACTTGAGACAAAAGATGACATTTCCTTGTCATCTCTCTGCAGCCCTGAAAAGAGCCCTGGTCTGCTGGTGACAGCCCTGCTTCCCTCTAACACTGTCACCTTTGCTCTTCTCTAGCAAGGAAGTCTTGCTGAGCAAAACAGGAAATCTGCTGGCAGCAAACAGCATCAACGCCACATCTTCCCTCGTTGCAATGCTTTAGATCAGCTGCCAGGGTGGACAGGATTACAACCACAAACAGAAGAGCTGAAGGTCTACACTATCCCTTGCCCTGTCAGACACAGCCTGGAGCTGTCCAGTCTGCCCGCACATGCTGCTCACAGCCTCTGAAAGTGCCAGTTCCAGAGGTCCTGAATTACCCCAAATACTCACTAACACCATGGTGTTTACAGGTTTCACTATCCTC